CTAGTTAGAAGATGCGATTACGGGATAAAGGTTCAGGGTCGAAGGGGTAGAGAAAGACCTTGGAAGACTTTGGAAGAGACTTTAAGAAAATTCTTAAAGTCCTTGGATCTAATAGAAGACGTTACACAGAACCGAGTATAATGGTGTTCTAGGATTCATATAGCCGGCCCCATTTAGTGGGAAAAGGCTTTACTGTTGTTGTTGTAGAGATGTTAAAATCACCTGTAGGTGAGGCTTCTCAGGTCCATATACTGGTGAATCAACACTCACTCACACACTTTAACCCTTTCCATTATTTTTCTTTATATTTTTATGCTTCAATGTGGTAAAGGGTAGGTTAAACTCATTGAATTTTCCATGGAAGTGGTTGGTTTGTCAATAGAGCTGCAAATTGCCTTGAGCTATGGAATATACCATTTCAAATCAAAGCTAGAAGTTTGATTACAAATCCAATTAGCAAAGTAAGGTCCAAATTCAAAACCCACCATCTATAATGTAAGAACATATCGACCCATTGGTAAAAAAATAAAAACCAAAAAAGAAGAATTTGATTTGCACCTGAAAATCCATTGAATCACTTGTCGATGCCCCGAATTGAATTTGAATCAAACCAATCATTCTTCAAGGAAACTAAAAATGGATAAGAAATTTAAAAAGTGCGAATTGGGTTGACATGCCGACTTGAAAAGGAAGTAGCTGCAGAATCATGTTTTAGGGCACGGAGGGAGAAAATGGTTTTTCTTTTGTTATTTAAAACAAAAACAATCTAAAGATAAATGAAAAAAAAAGACTATGAAAATCCATCAAAATTCACAATTAAAATCTATACAAATCCATATAAATCTGTCAAAATCCATATATAATTGTAAGTCCATTAAAATCCTTTAAAATCTTCACTTAAAAAAAATCCATTAAAATCCTCTGAAATTCAAATTGACTACACCCCCTAGACAAAAAGGGTGTGATATTCACACACTCCTTTTTACTTTTCTCACACCCTTTTAATTTTCGACCTTCGGATCAGATGAATTAAAAGAATATCAAAGGACAGAAATTAACAAGGGATGTGGGAGAAGTAAAAAGGGGTGTGTGGATAGCACACCCCAACAAAAAAAGATAAATTTTGTTCTATGAAATTACTTTGATACCCTTAACATTTTGGCTGTGATAGAAGACTAAATAGTTTTTTCACCCTCTTTTGGTTGACAAAGAGAGCTCTATTAATATGTAGTGTAGATAATATAGGTGTAAAAACTAAGTTGAGTATAGAGAGAGGTTATATGAGATCAAATAAAATTTCTCATTAACATATAATCTTCTTCCTTTTTTTCCTTTTTTATTTTTCAAACTTTTTATTTTACAAAGTAAAGATTGTTTTTATTATTTAAATATTTTTAATCCACTTGGAAATATTTTATCACACACCCAGTTATGTGCCACATCAATGTATAACAAAATTTTTGACAGAATTACGATGAAAAGACAATATTGATTTGCGACATTCATTTTCAACGACTATATTGATTGATTTTTAATTTGAAGACTATCTTAATAAAGTGAGTCAATTTCAAGAACTATTTGTTATAAAAACATTTTAGGTTTCAACCCAAAAATTAAAGTAGGTCTAAGTGTAGTTTTATTTTTTATTATTTTTAGCAAACGATATTACACTTAGGGAATGGGGTAAACTTAGTCTCAAAATGGATTAGTAATAATATGGTTCAAATTCGTCTTTAGTGATAATCAAACCTAAGACCTCTCACTTATAAGTGAAGAGGAATACAACTAGATCATATTACTAAGTGGTAGTTAGCTATAGCCTATAAGTAGAAATGGTTAAAATTAATCATTTATTGCTCATCGATTCAAAACTTTCGTTTGTCTTTTACGTCTATGCTTTTGTCGCCTATCGAAACTTACCTTCACAATTTAATAGGATAAGAAACAATATGGTTGGTGTGGGTTATGTCTGTCACTCTCACTATGAAAGCTTCCCAGACATGGTGATGCAGTTTCCTGGTTAATTTCCAAGTCTCCCTCCATAGTCCATCAGCTACTGTTAAAGTCAAGGCACTCCAACTCTGCAATTGATATCCAACTTCACTAGTAAGTATTCTGTGCTAAAATCCAGATAATTTGGAGAAGAAATTTTTTTTTTGTTTATTCTATCTTGCATGATCATCAACAACGTAAGAGAAAATCAAACATTGTATTGCTTGTTTTCTGAATCTCTTTATTTTCGATGCCAAATTTAAGAATGTCTCACTTTTCCATTATCATCCATCCAATCTTAAAAATAAATAGACTCAAGTCAATGGTCTTTTTTTATTGATTTTTAATCCTTCCTTCCGACTCTACTTTTATTATCGTTTTTTATTATTTAATAAAATTCGGAGATAGGGGGATTGGGAAATCTTGTTCTACTTGAGAATTAGCTCTTTCTAATCGTTCTGAGCGAGAGGGAAGAAGCTTATTTTATAGTTGATGGCTAATCTCGATATCTTGGTTCCTTTTTAGTGTCTTGTACTAGTTTAGAGAGTAAAGTTACTATTATAATCTGACTACCAAAACTTATATGCAGTGTAGTTTGACTCGCCTAATTCATTATCATCATTCCAATAAAAAACATAAATATAATCAAGTCAATGTTCTGTTTTTATTGATTTTTAATTCTTCATTTAGTAATATGATTATTGGAGTTGGTCCATGATTCAAAACCAAGAACGTGGTTACAATTTTATATTACGTTGTCATGAAGCACGCCAGATGTGAATTTGACTTTGGGATGATTTAGAATATGTTATTGTTTTGTTCAGATTCAAATTGGATCCGAAATTTTTTAATTTTTTCTTCAATTTTTCTCACATTTTCAAAGATACATTATCTGGTGAGCTAGGAGTGGGGGAGCTTTTTACTGGGGCGGGCTAGGAACAGCTTTCAGCGTTCTCTACGACGTCGTTAAGGAGGTGAAGGAAAGGACGTACATGTTCAAACCCATCCTGATGCTGAACTCTATTTTGATATCCTTGACGGTGATCATGATTACTAGTGGCAGACCTAAGAATTATTTTCGAGGAGTTAATAAGTAAAAGTAGTACTGAGCATTTTTTAAGAGCACAGATGTCAAATATTAGCGGAAATTCTTTCCCGCACATGTTTTTTCATGAATAAGAGGTCGCACTTGGTGCGATGGCAAGTGCCTTCGTCCATGAGTGGTAGGTCTCGGGTTCGAGACTTGGGAGCAGCATCTTCATAAATGGAGCTAAGGCTAGCCGACATTCACCTCTCCCAGACCCTGCGTAAAGCGGGAGCCTTGTGCACTGGGTACGACTTTTACATGTTTTTTCATGAATGAACAATTGAGAATTAGGACAAAGCTCATCTCTAACTGCAACGTAGAAATAATGGCTAAATATTTAGTCAATTATTGCTTATTGGTTCAAAACTTCTGTTTGTCTTTCTCTATGCTTTTGTCTTCCTTCGAAGCTTGCTTTCACAATCTAATAGGATGAGAAACAAAATTTTCTCTGTCACCATATGAAAGACTCCTGGACATGGTGTGCAATGTCCTGGTTAATTTCCAAGTCTCCCTCCATAGTCAATTGAACTTTTTTTTTGCAGGTAAAAAGAGGAAGGAATAGATATTGATATTATTGCTTTCCACTTATTTTCTTTTATATGTATTGTGATCATATATGGAATGCTCTTTATATAGAGTCATACCCGTGGAAAATCACAAAAGTGAAATGAATGCCTTTCGAAAAATATCATACAACAACAACAATAACAACAATGCTACTATTCTTAAGTCTTACTCACTTTTTATATTTGGCTAAAAACATGTAGGCATTCATTTCCACAACTTTTACATCAAGATGAAAATTTTGGATTTTTCTTTATAAAGTAAAGTTTTGATTGTTTTACAAACAAAAAAAATACGGAATTCCAATTACGTATAGCATGGTGGTCCGAAAAATCTAGAAAATACATTTATAAGGGTAGAGATCGGTATAGAATGAGTATATACTAAAATTTACTTTTTAAATTTTATTGCGTAAAATCTTCTTCTTGTTAAAAACCACAGTTTTGGTTGTTGACTTGGAAGTTAGCGGTGACCGGAGTTAGAAGGTTCGGATTGATCAGAAGATTAGGGTGTAATTCACTTAATGCTAGGAGTCGCCTCTAGTACATATCTTCTCCAAACCTAGATATAAAATAGCCCCCCCTTCTCTAATAAGTCATTGTTTTTTTTTGGGGGGGGGGAATTGCATGCTCCACACAAAAGTCGTAGACCGACCGATCAGTTGAATCAAAGTAATGCTTTCACCTTGCAGTCCTTACGATTCCACCACGACATTCTGATTGAAGAAGTTCTATATTGCTCAATAAATTGACCTATATTTATTTGTTAACTACCACAATGTTAAGTAAGAAATCTAAAAAAAGGTTATGATAAAATAAACCTATATAAAAAAAAAAAATGAAAGCTACAAATATCTATTTTTTACGAACGGGGTCATAGAAGGTCCAAGTTGCGACTGATTGTGGTTGAACACAACACTTTCCAGAAAGGGATGGAAAATGGGTTTCTGGTAGGCGGATTCCTTCTCCCCAAATAAAAAGGAAGAAATCCCCCATGCACACAACACTTTGGATCATTGCTTTGTAATTACACTCGTCGGCAGCCATGAGTGTGATAGGTTTTGTTTAGCGGAAGCTTCTTCTCGGTCAGTCAATGGCAAAGTCAATTTCACAGCAAGCAGCTTTGCAACTTGCTTGGTAAGTCAGTGGGGACGGGGAAAAGTAAGTCAATGGATTCAACTCAGGAATTATTAGCCTCCCATTGAAGCAGAATCGGATTCTTCCTTATATCAAGAGAGCATTTTTATCTGGGTTTTTCATACGGTTCTGTTCTTCTTTTGTCTCTAAGTTTTGATTGAAATGATTACAAGTTAGTTTTCGGATTTTTCGGTGTCGGTTTTTGTTTGAGAGAAGCTGGAATGGGAGGAGTTGGGGAGCTTTTTGCAGGTGCTGCTGTAGGAGCATTGTTTACTGTACTGTATGAGGTTGTTAAGGATGTCAAGGACAAGACTATGATGTTTAGAGAGCTTCTCGGAGATCTTGATTCCACGCTAGAAGCGTTAAAGCCGCTGATCAAAGACATAGCCAAGTACAAAGAGGTGTTGGATCAATCAAACAAGGAAGTAGAAAAAATTGGGAAACAAATGGCGAATGGGGACGAGCTAGTTCTCAAGTGCTACAAACTTAACTGGTGGAAAGGCTTCAAAAAGTATAAATACGCCAAGCAACTTCTCGATTTGGACAAGTGTCTAAACAGGTTGTTGACGGTACTGACTGTGGAGGGAATAAGGAACGGGTTCGAGAACTTGGCTGTTTCGAGGGAGACCTTGGCTGTGTCGAAGGAGACCTTGACTACTGTCCAGAAAAAGGGTTTGGTAGGAAACAAAGAGAATGTTGTCATACAAAAGCAAGAAGGATTCATGATTTGGGTTCAGTTCCTGAACCTCCACATGTTACAGTTGGATTGGATGAGCCTTTGAGGGATTTGAAGGAGATGCTTCTTAAGGACGATGTCTCAATGTTAGTGCTGACTGCTACCGGAGGATGCGGGAAAACCACATTGGCAATGAAATTCTGTCAAGATGAGGAAGTCAAAGGTATAACAATACTTTCTAATTGCTAATTGAGAAGTGTTATAGTAGAAATAATCTTTAATTTAACATCGTTTTCTCTTGATTACTACTAGTAGTATGTTATAGATGTCGTTCGTTGAGTTGAAGCCTTTTGTATGAGTTTACAGCACCTATTTATACCCAAATCAAACCCAGCTTCGGATATATATAACATCAAAGTTAATCCACAAATGTAATATTTCAAATGCTTGAATATCATATCTTATTGGATATCTGGTTTCGAAATTCAAGCTTTCTTTTTTCCATGAATAATATGTGGTATATCTCGGATATCATAGTTCACTCATGCATTATATAGTAAAGAATCGTCCCCATTTCTGTTATACAGTTCATATCTGAGTCATAGAGGAATATAATTGGAAAATCCCATGGGTAGGAAATTTTCCTTGACAGGGTAACGAAGCATTTACTACACTACCTTCATGATTGATCAGGTTCCATTAAGAAAATTGCTTCACTTGTTTCATACTCTTCAATGTTACCATAGTGTATTGTTCCTTGTTTTCGCATTTATCTAACATATTTCTTGTATTGTATTTTGATAGATAAATTCAAGAAAAATATCTTCTTCGTCACCGTTTCTAAAGAGCCCAACTTAGATGTTGTAGAAGAGCTATATCAACACATGAAGTCTCAGGAAGCAACACAAGATCCTATACTGTTGGTCCTGGATGATGTTTGGTTCAAATCCAAATTTCTTCTTCAGCAGTTTGATGAATTGAAATCGCGAAATTGCAAGATCTTGGTGACATCGAGATCTGAATTTCCAGGATTTGGCACTCCGTATAATCTCAAAGCTTTGAATGATGAAGATTCAATGACTCTTTTGCATCATTCAGCATCCCTGGGAGATAGCTCGTCTGTTCCAGAAGATCTTCTGAGAAAGGTTTATTTCTCACTATGCAATTCACAACATATATACATATCAAGGCCTCACAAATTATAGGGGCAACAAAGTGGGGAAAATAAATTGTTTTGATCTTTTACGATATGTATACACATACAGAAGCAAACACCTATTTTACCATATGAACCTGCAAATGATCATTCACTGGTCGCATGTGAGGTAATTAAGAACCAAAACTAAAATAAGAATGAAGCTAAGTAGGTAGTCAATAACCATTTTCATGAAATCATTGAGATGTTAAAAGAAACTTGAACTTTCTGTCTGCAACCCAGATAGTAATTGACATCATTTGGTACAATTAATCTGCAGATACTAAAGCACTGTAAGGGAGTGCCCCTTGCCATTACAGTGACCGGGAAATCACTTCGCGGAAAAGCTACAGAATTCTGGCGTTCAAGACTAGCAGACTGGTCAAAAGGTTCTATTCTTGATTCTGAGACTGAGTTGCTTCTTCGCCTTCAAAGTAGCATAGATGCCTTAGATGAAAAAGAGGTTATCATCAGGGAATGTTTCACAGACCTTGTTTCATTTCCTGAAGATCAAAGAATCTCTGCTGCTGCTTTCATTGATATGTGGGCAGAGTTATATAAGCTAGATGAGGACTTTCTGTCCATTAAGAACCTCCACGAACTTGCCCGCAGAGGTCTGGCAAATCTTGTGATCACTAGGTACGCAAGCTATTAAGTTTCTCCTGTATAATATTCTCATTGAAAATGTCCACATTCACGTGTCGCTCTGACCATAATATGAAACTGCAAGTCTGCAACTGACTGAGTTTGGCTTGTTACCAGGAAGGAGAATATAGAGATTATGGATGACTACTACATCGAACACTTTGTTAGCCAGCATGATATGCTGAGAGAGCTGGCTATCTACAATGCAAAACTAGACCCAATAGAAGAAAGAAAAAGACTGATTGTCGTAAGTGGACACAATCAACCCAAGTGGTTGATGGAGCAGAAGTCTCAACCCATCAATGCTCGCCTATTGTCTATCTCCTCTGGTTGTCCCATCTCTCTCTTTATAAAATGCATATATGTGCACATTGCACGTCTACCTATGACCAGCACACTTACCCACGTACATTCACTTTCGTCCATGCTCACACACACATGAACACAGACACAAGCATATGCATATATACACATGCAAATGCACTTGCACACAGAGACACACGCTAAAATTTGCACATAAGTTTCATATAATTTCTGTCCTACTCATATCTCGTAGCATATTGTTTGCAGATGGAATATTCCCAACACAATGGCAGAGTGTTCATCTACCACATGTTGAGGTTCTAGTTTTGAATTTTAAGACAGTGAACAATGCCTTACCTGAATTTGTGCAGAAAATTGACAAACTGAAGGTTCTAATAGTCACAAACTATGGTTTATTGCCTACTGAATTGAGTAATTTTGATATTCTGGAATCATTATCAAATCTGAAGAGAATCAGATTAGAGCGCATTTCAATTCATTCCATAACCAAGAACTTCGTACCATTGAAGAGTCTAAAGAAGATATCTTTGTTCATGTGTAACATGAGTCAAGCTTTCCACAATTGTTCCATCAAAATTTCAGAGGCCTGGCCAGGTTTAGAGGAAATGAATATCGACTATTGCCATGATTTGGTGGAACTGCCTGCCGAGCTTTGTGATCTTGTTCATATGAAGATGCTCAGTATCACCAACTGCCATAAGCTATCTGCCTTGCCTGAAGAGATCGGAAAGCTGGAGAATTTGGATGTACTGAGACTAAGGTCCTGTACAGACTTGGTAAGGCTTCCGGTCTCGATTGAGAACCTCACTAAGTTGTGCTGTCTTGACATGTATGATTGTTTGGGCATTAGGAAGTTGCCTGAAGGCATTGGTAATATGAGCGGTTTAAGAAAGATCAACATGGGACAATGCTCAAGTTTGGAAGAGTTGCCTCTATCAGTGTGGGATCTTGACGAGCAGTTAGAAGAAGTGATTTGTGATGAAGAGAAGAAACATTTGTGGGAATCCTTCTTAGCCAGAGACAAAATCAAGGTGGCAAAAGAAAAAACCAATCTGAATTGGCTCGAAAAGCCTCAGTTGTGAGACCTGTCTTTCCTCAATAAATGATGGAGCAACGTCTTTCTGATTGTGTTGCATTGTTTTCTTTAGCTTTCATCTTCTTGTTTGATTTTTCTTGTTTGATTTCGTTCTTTGGTTCTGTTCAATTTCTCTGTTTCATCACATCAGTTTGTAAGACTATTTATTCATAACAGCTCTGAGAAAGTACAGCCATGGATGCTTCGAAACTAAGAAGAAAAGCTTAGAGAGAGATTTAAGAGAGAGAAAGATAGAGAGAAAGTATATATTTGATTAACTGTCAAAAGATAATACAATCCTGCTCCTCCTCGCTATTTATACTTACTAGTTTGCTTAATGACTAAGCTAACCATCTAACTAACTACCCTTCTAGGATTGTGACACTTGTCATAACAAGATCATTTCATACAATAAACTCTCCTAGCTACACATCACTCAATATTCCCCCTCAATCTCAACTGGGGAACCCCAGCTTGAGATTGTGACAGTGTTGAACAAATAAAGGTCCATGAAGACCCTTTGTCAAAATATCAGCCACCTGATCAGCAGTAGAAATATACTCAACATGTAAATCTCCTTTTTGCACCCTTTCACGAACAAAATGAAAGTCTATATCAAGATGTTTAATCCGAGAGTGAAAAACCGGATTAGAACACAAAGCCAAAGTTGAAATATTGTCACAGTGCAGAGTAGGAGGTGAGGGCAAGAAAATGTGTAAATCTTTCAAGATCAATCGTATCCAGGCAACATCGGCAGCAGCATTAGCTAGAGCTTTATACTCAGCCTCTGTGGAACTACGCGATACACTTGCTTGCTTCTTGGACTGCCAGGAGACTGGATTCTGTCCCAAAAACACCACATATCCAGTAGTCGATCGTCTTGTGTTGATATCAGATGCCTAATCTACATCACTAAATGCTAATAAATCCAAAGTATGTGTAGATGAATATGTAAGGCCACACTCCAAAGTACCTTGAAGATATCGAAGAATCCGCTTTACCAAATGAAAATGAACATCAGTAGGAGTTGACATGAATTGGCAAGCATAGTTCACTGCAAAAGCGATGTCGGGTCTAGTAAAAGTGAGATACTGTAATGCTCCTACTAAACTGCGAAACTCAGTAGGATCAATCAGTGGTATGCCTTCATCTTTAAGCAACTGACTATGTGGCTTGCAAGTAGTTAGACAAGCTTTACACGATACCATACCAGCCTTTTTAATTAGCTCTTTATCATAATTTGATTGAGACACAAATAGATCACCATTAGCTTGATAAGTAATTTGTAAACCCAAGAAGAAAGTGAGTTGTCTCATGTCTTTCATATCAAATACCATTCCCAATTCATCAATAACTTGTTGAACCAAAACTGAATCAGAACTTGTGATGATTATATCATCAACATATAGAAGAAGAATAACCACTGCACTGCCTTGAGTTTTAACAAACAAACTAGGATCCGAATCTGAAACAAGGAATCCCAAGGTAGGCAAATAAGTTGTAAACTTAGAATTCCAGGCCCGAGGTGCCTGTTTCAATCCATACAGTGATTTTCTGAGCTTACAAACATAATCAGGATGTTGAGGATCCTTGAAACCTTGGGGCTGTTGCATAAACACTTCCTCCTGCAAATCTCCATGAAGAAATGCGTTCTTGACATCTAATTGCTTCAAAGACCATTTGTGAGAAGCAGCAAGTGCCAAAACAATTCTGACAGTACTGTGTCGAACAACAGGACTGAAAGTTTCATCATAATCTAAACCATGTGTTTGACTGAACCCTTAAGCAACTAGTCTAGCTTTATATCTGGAAACTGCACCATTTTGATCCCTCTTGACTTTATAAATCCACTTGCTTCCAATAATATTCTTATTAGAAGGCAAAGGAACAAGATCCCAAGTCCTTTGTTTCTGAAGTGCAGAGAACTCTTCTGTCATAGCATCTCTCAAATGAGAATGAGCAACAACATGTTTGTAAGATGCAGGTTCAATAGGCTCAGATATGTCTAAGACAGCAGTACAACCAAGTAAAACATGATCATCAAAAGAAGAATATGAACCAGAGGAAATAGGAGCAGCCATTGCAGAATAGGTACTATAATCTTTTCTAGCAATAACCCCAGATTTAAGTCGAGTAGTCATAGAATGAACATTGGAAGAATCAGAAGTATCATTATGTATGGAACCAGAAGACAAATCATTAGCATATGGAAGTGAGAAAGGTACCTCCAATGATGCAGGACAGTGGACAGGCAACAAAGATGTAGTTGGATGAAAGGATTGTGGAGTAGTGGTGTGATGAGAGGTCTGTGTTGGAGAAGAAGATCTTTCATCTTGACCCATACCAGAGAACATTGGACTATCATTCACTAAAGATGTATCCTGAACCACTAAATCGGAACCATTATGAACAGATGATGTAGTTTGGTGTTGTTGACCGAATCTTGCTCCAGAATAAATTGGTAGCACAAAAGGAGTAACCACTGGATGCTTGAACTGATAGTGAGGTCCATTCACAGTACGTTGCACTATAGAACTTTGTTGAAATGGAAACACCTGTTCATCATGAACTACATGCCTCGAAATAAATAATCTTTGCTTCCCTCTATGATAGCAAACAACTCCCTTGTAACCTAAAACATATCCCAGAAATATACATTCATCGGTTCTGGGGTCCAATTTATGCTTAGTATAATGTCTAAGATACGGATAAACAGCAGACCCAAAGACCTTAATAGAATTGACTAACGGATGAGTCCCAAACAACTTGAAGTAAGGAGACTGCCAAGCTAAGGATTTGCAAGGCATTCGATTGATAAGAAAAATAGCATGAGAACAAGCATGCATCCAAAAATTATGAGGCAAAGAAGCAGTAGTCAATAATGTGATAGCAGTCTCTATAATATGTCGATGTTTTCGCTCAGCAGTTCCATTTTGCTGAGGTGTATGAGGACAAGAAATAAGATGAACAACCCCTTTTGAATTCAAAAATTTCTTGAAGGAAAAGCTTGTATACTCTCCACCACCATCTGACTGAAAATACTGAATAGAAGTATGAAAATGATTCTGGACAAATGCAAAAAAGGTCTAAAAAACAGAGAGCACTTGAGATTTATAAACCAGAGGAAACAACCATGTAAACTTTGTATAGTCATCAATAAAGCTCACATGGTATTTATATCCTTCAAGTGATACAACAGGAGAGGGTCCCCATACATCACTACTTATCCTTTGAAAAGGTCTTACAGACAAATGTGAACTAGAAGAGAACACCTGTCTAGACATTTTGCCACTTAGGCAGAAACTGCATATATGTTTATTCACATCTGGTTTATACAAGACCTTGGAATTAGAAAGCATACTATGTAACACATCATTGCTAGGATGTCCTAGTCTATGATGCCAAAGAGAAGCCTTCACCACTTGACCAAGAAATGCCTTTGGAAGAGAAACTGATTGTTGCTTGTGATGCTTGAAAAACAAACTCTTGGGTATGTAATACAGACCTCCACTACTCCTTCCTCTCATTAGGATTGCCTTTGTTGCCTTGTCCTGCACCAAAAAACCATATTCATCAAGAATCACACAGCAGTTATTATCTTTGCACAATGTATACACAGATAATAAACTAGCTGCTAAGGTAGGGACATGTAACATAGAAGCAAGATATAAGATTTTAGACTGAGTATAAAGAGAGTTGGAACCAGTATTCTTCACTGGAAGACATTTTCCATTGCCAACCGTGATCTTTTGATCCCCTTCAAATGGTGCAATCATTTCCAGATCATTAATATCGCCCGTCATATGATGAGTAGCCCCTGTGTCCATGATCCATGCCTGATTCAGATTGAAAGTAGACTGAGACTGAGCAGTCATGGCAATCAAAGTGGGAGGTGGATTTGCTCCTTGATATGCATAGTTACTTCGATGGAAACAATTGAGAGCAATGTGCCTCTTTTTTCCACAGATTTGACACTCAGGAATAGCAGCAGGCGCTTGAGATTGTTGTTCATTGTGATAGTAACAATTTGGAGCAGTATGACCACGTTTGTTGCAAATCTGACATTCAGGGATAATGGCAGACTTCTGACCAGAATTCCCAGTCCAAGTTGACCAATTCGAACCCCCTTTATTCTGAAAATTCCCACCTGAATTACCATAGCCATTGCCTCTGTTGGTAGAGCCAAAATGAAACCCATTACCACCATTGAATCTTGATCTGGAATTATAGCGCTGACTATTACCATTGTTACGATTGGAATGAAATTGTTGTGATATATTAGCTTGACCATTACCATTAGACCGCTGATTTTGACCAACAAAACCAAAACTTCCACCATTAAAATTTTGTCCTTGTTGAGCACTAGCATTGGATGATTCTCCTGGATAGAATCGTAGACCTCCATAGTTACCATTAAACGTCTGTCCATGTTGAGAACCAGCATTAGAAGACTCTCCATGAGAATACATGCCAATCATAGGAAATTGAAAACCACCTTGAAACTCTTCAGCAGTTTTCTCAGCACTCAACAACTGTGCACGAAATTCTTTAAGAGTAAGAGGAGACTTGCGTGCCACAATCACAGTTTTGATCATGTTATACTCAGAGGGCAATCCAGCCAAAGCTGCTACAATTAAATCATTATCTGAAACAATTTCCCCTGCAGCAAGTAATTGATCTTTCAAGCCCTTAAGACGTAGCAAGTATTTCTCAACAGTATCAGATCCCTTTTTTATCGTGTGAAGTTCAGTCTTAAGATGATTGATCCGTGCTCTAGACACTGTGGCATATCGATCATTAAGATTGGTCCACGCTTCATAAGCAGTCTTACACCCAACCACATATTCAATGGCTTCATCACCAAGACTAGCAATCAACAAGCTTAACAATGCTTTATCTGTTTTAACCCAATCACGATAGGCCGCTGTAATCTCCTTTGTCACCCCACCTTCCAGAGAGATCACATACTTTGGTGGACAAACACTATTCCCATCAAAGAAATCAAACAAATCATATCCTTCCAAAACAGAGCGAAACTGAAATGACCACTTAGCAAAGTTATCATCCTGTAAGTGGATAGTGAGCACTCCCAATAAACTTTCAATTTTGAATGAAGAAGACGCCATTTGTGAACTCAGACAGAATCAACCACACGCTTCGTGCTTAGTATGGTGAACCAAATGAGAGATGAGCGCAGAACAACAAACCCCCAAA